TACTTATACTTATACTTATACTTATACTTATACTTATACTTATACTTATACTTATACTTATACTTATACTTATACTTATACTTATACTTATACTTATACTTATACTTATACTTATACTTATACTTATACTTATAGTTAGTATCTGCATTTGTATTTGCATAACATTGGATAGCAAAGAATAAATATAAACATTTGCTTTGTTAACATGTTTATTAAACACAAACAGATTATGTCGATGAGCTAACTAGGCGATATTCCAGCTTTGATTAGTTGCATGCCAAGTCAAGTGGGGCAAAGAGCTTGCAGCCTTAACAATTGGCAGCGGCAAATAAAAGACCGCAGACCGCAGACCGCAACGTGTGTGCACTGTAAATGAAATTGGAAACATGGAAAAATTGAAGGCAACACATTTAATTAAGCCAACTGGCACGACAGACCTCTGACAGATTTCCCCTCGTCCCGCTCTGCACGATGCTGAACAGAATCATCGCCGATGCAGTTCAGGAAGATCAACATTCCAATTGCCGTCCTCTGCGCCTCCCAGCTGCGACACTGCCATCCTGCGTCTTTTCTGTCTCGAACTACTTTCTCATATGATAGACTCACCTTATATGCATTTATAATATCGTGTAGCAGATGGTTCGTGCCTTCCCCTTTCCTAAATGGAAATCATGTATTAAGAGAGGAGCAGAGGAGTAAGTTTATCTTTTGATTAGATGTGCAGCTAGCATTAAACGTTGTCGTTAGGGTAAATTTTAGTCGAGCAATAACTTTGTAGTTTTTACCCTCTATTTTCTTCTGCATTTTTGCACGTGATGCGCGCAGTTAATTCCCACCAGACTGTTGGTGAGCTCGGTGTAGATGTTCAGGTTACATTTGTGCTTGAGGTTGGAGACTATTTGAATTGACTTTAGTAAATGGCTTGTAGTTTGCATGTTTTCAATGAAATGCAACTATACTTTTGTTGGCTTGTGTAATAGCAATTATTTCTCTTTATAAAATTACTGGAAATCGTGCTGGCACAGCAGCTGGAGGATCTTCTTAATTGTGTATTTCATAATATTCTTTGTGCAACTATTGTTTTCCTGGTATTTAATATAAAATGTAAATGCTACCTTTTCCATGAGCTGCAGTAATACAAGACTTGACTTTTGCAAAATATTTCGAGAATTATAATTACGAGTTGACCAGAAACCGTACCATAAACCGAAAATTTAATCGAATAAATTTGCCAACCAAGCTTTAATATATTCAAGTGTGATGTAATAGTGGAAACCCAGCTTCAGAAATGGGATTATGATGAGATTTCTTAGTGTCACCTAAATCATAGTCTCTTCATTCAGCAGTCGTGAATAGCATCAAATGCTACATAAGCTCAGAACGGTCTGCGCATAGTTTGCCAAATAGGAAACTATATGCCGTATATTAAAACGTGCACACGATCCGGCAGAAAATGCTGCCGCAGCAGCATAAAGAAAAAACTTGATAAACTGCTGCCAAAGGGCGTCTGTGGACCCCCAAGATGCCAGAGCGAAATTGAATATAAAAAGCACTTGGCGCTGGCGATGAGGAAAATATATTTCCGTTAACGACAATCGGGCGAAATGCAAAAACTGTCGCGGAAGTTGTCAAAACATTCGAGACGTAGCGATACGAAACCAAATGCCAGATAGTAGCAGCCGCTGCCTGTTGGTCCAAGCTGACAGATAGAAGACTGACACACACTCACACACACAAAGCGAGCAGCCTGAGATGGCAAATGCAAAGGTTGTAGAGGGAGAGAGCGATAGCGATGCTCGACCTTCCTTCGAGGCTATCCTTCAGGCGCACCTTGAAAGGTCTTAAAGTATGTAGTTTTTCTTAGCCTGGCTGCCAAGCGATTGGCTTGGCATATTTTTCTTCTTCTTTGAGCCAAGTATAAATTAACTTTTATGCGCTTATCGGTCTGGGAATTCATAATCTCAACCACTGGCCGCCGAGTCCTCGGTGCGAGGCTTGTCTTATTTATTGTTTAACTGCGCACACACTGATAATAAATTTCGCCTTCATTGTCGTTTTTGCTGTTGTTGTCGGTTTGATGTTGCAGGCGTGAAAAATTGTTGGCGTGCATTTTACATTCATTTCAACATTTTTCCTTTTTCACTTTTTTTTTGAGCAGCCATTAAATATGCAGCCCGGGCCTTTTGCACACTCGTCTATCGGGCAGTTTTTTTTCCTTTTTTTAGGTAGGCCTTCCTTTTTCAAGGATTTTGTGACAACCTTTTAATGAAATTAATCTGGCAAGCGCAGCCGACGGACCACGCGCAACTGCTGCCAACAATTTTGCATATAAATTGCAATTTAAGATGACCGTTTATCAATGCTCATAACTTTCGCAGAGCCTCTGACTCGGCCTATCTCTGGCTGCAAGCCGTGGATTAATTTATTAAAACCAGGCTGTGGTCCAGACCACATAAAATATATGCTGTATATTCGGCTTAAGTATGCCCCTAATAGCGCCTTAAGCCCTTTACGAAAATTGAGCGCAGTTTCACTTAATCGATTATAACACAGCTAACGCCTCAAGAGACATTTATTAACTTACGCACGTTGAACTATTAGCCTTTTTAAGACGTATCGGTAAGCTAAACACATTTTGAAATTCAATACCAAAACAACTAAGACAGTTATAATCTGGAGTACCGACTAGAACGTATCCTTGCCGAGCTGCGTTTCCAAATGTACTGCATCTCACACATATATATCATATGTGCTAATGCAGAAAAAATTACATTTTTGAATTGAACCTAGGTCTCCTCAGCCAAGCACATCATCGCTACCAAGATTCGAGACTAAAGTTGCAACTTCAAACACAATTGGATAGAATCGAGCCAACGTAGTTCAATTAAAATTTCAGCACAATGATCATAGAATTTGTGGCAAGCGAGATAAATACGAATTGTTTTGTTTATAAAGACTTTCGTAAATTCAAAACTGCTAAGAAAAATAAAAATAGAATCACGATAGGAGAGTCTACCTCAAAAGATGTGGGCGATACGATTTAATAAGTGAAATTCGGTAATATTTTTTAATAGTTTTAATCCTGAATTTTCATAACAGCTAAGTCGGAAGCTGCTATATGGGAGATAATCATAAACATAATCGTTATTAATATATGCAATTATTATTATCATTTACTATCATTATTATTATGTATAAGACATATCCAAGAAGCAAAGTAGACCTAGTTTCCTCTCAGTTGTGATGCTTGATGAAAACCTCTTTCCTGGTGCTAATAATAAACCAGATATGCACATGAGAAGTTATTGTTATGCGAACTGCGAGCTGTGCACTCAATTAAACAGCTTTTGTCAGGTCAGGTTTCTATGTCACTCAATTCTCTGACCAGCCAAACAATAACTGACATGTCCTCGTCCAAGCTCGTTCTAACTCGTCCTGAACCACTGGATGACTGGCATATGAGAAGGTGCAGCTGGCATTTTCAGCTTTTGCATAATGTAAACGTAACAAACAAAACAAAACCAACTTGTGGCAGCTATTGAATCAGATTGTGATGCTTCCACACGGTTACATTCCACTCCTCGAGTCAATTATGCAATTACAAGGATAACACACCGCTGTCAGTGCATTTTGGGTCACTCCCAAGAATTGACCAAAAGTTGAGCTTAGGCCTGCAAAGCAAACATTGTCATAGGCTATACTCAGCCGCATTACGTATACGCCGAGTGTAACCTAGAGCTTACAGCATGTATGCATCTCTGACATGTAAATAGCTCATTAAAAGTTTCACACATACAGTACACACAGCACACACACACACACACACACACACACACACATAGTGGGGCCATTTATTAAATGTTGGCTTTACTAAAATTTCATGTGGGCAAACATTTTGCTATATAAAACAAACGAGCAGCGTAGACAAGTAGACAAAAAAAGCCAAGTGCAGGAAGGGTGCGAGAGAAGAGGGCTGGGCACTGCCGTGTAAAACACATACTATATATATATATATGTGTATATATATATAGTGTTCACACAACACAGATGACATAGCATACACTGCGCTGTTTACTTCCGCCTCTCTGCCCACTCCTCGTGCGTCTATCTGTCTGTCTGTCTGTGTGTTAGTTTTTACACTGTGCCTGCAGCGCAACACTTCCTGTTTACATAAACAAACACGTCAATGCGTCTGACATGCAGCTAACCCACCACACACCACACACCATCAGCACACTCACACACACACTCATTGTGCCTCTCTTTCACTCAGTATGTCTCTTTCAGCCTGTGTGGGCGTCGCTACGCCTTCACATGCATAAAAATTTTGCATTAGCTCAACAAGGATTTTGTTTTCAATATTACAACGTCACATGGAGGACAACGTTTTTGTTGCAGTTGTTGTCGTTGTCGTTGTCGCTGTCGTTGTTGCTGTTGCATGGCAGTGGATGCATTGAAAAAGTTAACTTTGCCCGCAGGCAGCTAAATACATTTGAGCTTGTTTTCATATTGATATTTTTAATGATTCATTGCGGGCCAACTTTTCCGATTGGTTATAGAAATATATATATATATATATATCTATATATTCAGTAAAACTTTTAGGTTTACATTAGCATTGCAGTTGCTCAACTCGCTTAGCATGCAAAATATTATTGTTGAATATTATAAAAGTTGGCATAACTAAGTTTAGCCTACCAATACATATGCCATTAAAGTTTAGCTTGAATTCAGACTGGAATTCTTACGTTTGCAGCTGCTGCAAGTATTTTGAGTTTAGTTTCTTTAATATTTCGCGTTTCGCTTGTGCAACTCTTGGCAACATTATTGGCACAAAAATATTTTTAATCTTAATTAAATTGCATTCTCTGGCAGTCTCATCCGAGTACAGCTCGACATTTGCCGCCCGGGGCTAACATCCCACTTGGAATTTCAGTTAATCAAACGCAGCGTTCTGCATGAAAATGCTTAATTGTATTATTACATAACTTTGCTTTGAGATGTCGGCTCTGAAGCTAGAGATGGGCGCAGACCAAATCAAGACTCACGAGCGTAGAGATGAACGTGCGTTCGTGCGCAAACAAATGGAGCTATTAATATTTGCTATCTATCTTTATCTCTCAATCAACTTAAAAGTTATTCATCTATTTTACACTAAATTGTATTCATAACGAGTCACAGTTCGATTTGAATTGGGCACAGTCCAAGCTAAGCTTAGATTTTATTATATGACTAGACAAATTAGTGGATAATTTAGGTGGATTTACTTCAGTATATGGTAAGCTGCTTTATAGTTGGAGATCTCTATTTAATTTAATTAAGGCACACAACAAATCAGACCTTAACACAAATAATTCCAATGCGACGCGGTCTCCGAGGATTTAACATTCAAAATTTAGCAAAAAATTAAGCTAATTAATCATAATCACATTTTAAGTAAAAATAAAGAAATTGAGAAATTTTTTTAAAAATGTATATATTTTATATTAACTAGTTTTTTATTCGTGTCACGCACACATCTCCAGAACCAAGTGAAGTCAAGTTCTCTGTCAGCATTTCCAACTGCCATAATTCATTTGGCACTCGATACAAAAGTCTTGAGCAATTAATTCACGCGCTCGCTATTGATAAATCAATGTGAGAATCGTTTTCAAAGGATAATTAATGCGTTGCACAGCAACGCGGCCTGCCTGTGACAGCATGTGTGTGCGAGTGTGCGCGAATGTGAGTGTGTGCGAGTGTGTGTATGTGCGTTGCCTAGTTTTGGGAGCACATAAACAACCAATTAACGTGTATAATATTTCTGTATAATATTTCATGGAAAACACTTTCCGTTTTAGCAAATATTTTAGCGGAGAAAATTACTTTTAAATCCATTATGCTTTCATTTGAAATATATAATATTATATAGAGAATGTAGTATTATGTGTATGCTTTATAGAGCATGTGCATTCTCATTTGTGCGCAGGCAAAGCCTTGAACAAATTTCGTTTGAGCGCATTAAGGATGTGCTCAAACAGAGGCATCCACATGTGGGCGGGGCGGTGCTGGGTGCTCGGTGGACATGTGGAGACAAGCTTTTGTAATTAAATTAGCATTAATGTTGTCGCTGGGATTGTGGACTGCCAGCACTGGCTCGTTACCATTGTCGTCATCAACGTCTGTTCTCCTTGTGCGACTTCATTAAAGATCGCTCATACGTCATGTGGCCCAAGTGTGCCTGTCCATGAACGTAGTTCAGCAAAGTAAGGACGCACCTCCTGTCTCGCTCTTCACTGTTATTACGTCTTTAATTTTATTTCGATAACAATTGAAAGAAAATTATTTACTCAATTGCCTACTGCAGAGTCAATTCAAAAATTTGACTATAAATAAACACCAACTACAGTAAAAACAGAAGCAGATGCACTCGAAGTGTCCATGAAACTTTTCCTCAACTGTGCTGCAAGACTTTATGTGCTGTTCGCAGCACGCAAAGAGGTATATTAGCTCTCCTCTCTGTGCGCCCATGTGAACATCAGCTAATCTATTTGGGATCAACTTTGAAGACATCTAAAGCAATATTTACTTTTTCAAAATAAATTTGTTTGAAAACTAAATTTGCAGGCTCCCCTAGTGAAGAGCTGAGAGCAGTGTATTGAGCAGTCGAATCATTTATTTTAGTTTTGTCGATGGCAAATGATAAAAGCAGTGAAGCAAAAAGTTGAAGCTTAAGTTAAACAAAGTTTTCTATATAACAACAAATGCAAAACGAAAATTAAGTCAAGTCAAATATGAATAAGCTTAACGCAAAAACTATTCATATTTCCTGTTTGAATTTTCAATACGTAAAAAAAAGATAAACAAGTTTTTACGCAAACATATTGAACAGGCAGAAAGGCAGCCAATACTAGATATATATATATATATATATATATATATATGTATATATGTACATACATATAGTGCAAAGCTTTGATGCTTGTTAGAGAGAAGATGTCCAAGTCTTGAAGTTTAGCTCTCGACTTACACAGGTCATGAATAGGAAAGAAGAGCAACCCTGCGTATAATCCATATGTGAAACGTGTTCATGTGTGAGTACAGAGTACCTTCTAGTCAGGCAGACTTAGCAATTTGATAAAATAGAAATGTTCCTCTTATTTATTTTATTTAACTATTTTCAAATTTACTTTTCTTTACAACTTCAAAATAACTGTAAAATATTTTTGCAATGTTTGTACATAAATAATACAAGCTAAACAAACCATTGCTGGATATCATTCAGAAATGTTTCTAAGCCAAAGGACCTAGTTAGAAAGCGAATCAGAGTCTGCAATGAAAATTCCAATAAAATGAAAATATGTTTTGGCTAATAAAGAAATTCGTGTTATTTGTTAAGGAAATAACATTTTGTACATTATTATTACAAGGTTCACATTACAAAATATATTTTATGTGCCAGCTGTTACACAGCAGAAGCGAAAGTGTCTGTTGGAGCCAAGCAAAAACTCAAGACACTTCCGCCGGATGTATGTAACTAGCGCCTAAGCAATACTTGTGTATGTATGTGTGTATCTATGTGTGTGCAGAAGGCTTGCCAGTCTTTATGTTGCTTAAAAACTTTGTGAGTGTTCTTTAAGCAAATTGCCAGTGTAAATATTGCAGCAACCAGCAGCAGCAGCATCAGCAGCAGCAACGGCCAGCAATAACAACAAATGCGACCCTTGTCGCAGCTGTGTAAACAGCGCCAACAACAATCTAATATTACTGACGTCAGAAGACGCACACACACACACGCACACACAACACACTAATACACAGCCAAACACAGTCAAACAAAATGCAGTTAGCTTGCCTCGGCTTCTGCCTAACTAACGCTCGCCCCTTGAACAACTCAGTCGGGCGCTTTTGCTGTTTTATGCAGACAGCTCAACGCAACTGAACCGAACTCAATGGCAGCAGGCGACTAACCAAAATGGCCGCACCGGAAGTAGCTGGTCGCCATTCGCTTTGCTGCTGCCGCACGCGCGATTCCATTTGATCTGATTTTATTGCTGTTGCTGTGGCCATTATTGCTGTTGCTATAGCCGTAGCTGTTGCTGCTGCTGCTGCTGCTGCCATTGTTGGCTGTATTTAGTGTAGTTTATATTTAAGTATTTAGTGTATGTATTTCGGTCTCGGTTTGTTTGTCTCTGGCAAACGATGCACACAAATCATTAGCTGCTCCATTAGAGAAACCAATGAGCGAAATGGCCAACAAGGATTTGCATTAGCCACTTTGCGCTTAATCTAGTTTCCTTATTCAATTTTATTGTGCTCTGTGGCTTTGCCAAACGAGAGTAATCCAGAAATAATTGTAAAAACAAAAAACGAATATGCCTATACTACGTATTAGCCACGCTAAGACATTGATACTTAAATTAAGACTTTTTTAAGCATAGACAAATTACACAATAATTTCATCGAATTCAGTAGTTGTCGTTACTTAGAAATCATAATCATGTGGCTTAGTAGCAAATCGATTGAGATGACAAAGGGGAAAGACTTAGATATTCGAAATATCAATTAATTGTCATTGAGAGTATATAACAGGCATGACTTTATAAGAATTTAACTACCCGATTGGAGTAGGTCTAAAAAGGTGTTTATTCATGTTAAGCTGAGTAACATTTGAAATCATCAGAGACAGTTTTGGTGATGAGAAGCGCAGTTAAGACATCTGATTCGTCTGCCTCTCACTCACTCAACAGTCAGTCAATTACTTTCAGCCCATCGCGTTTAATTTCAATTATCGATAGGTAGCAAAAACAGCACAGGTGCTTAAAGCATACCTAACACATAACTCATAAGTCTTGAAGTGCAAAAGTTGCAGACATTGAAGTTAGTTGCGTATCACAAACACATAAAAACTCTTCAATCATATATACATATAATCATTCAATACATTAATCTTCAGCTCTGCAGTGCAACTCGGATTAAGGTCCATTAATGATCCCCTTTGAAGAGAGACTTAGCTGCCTTAAGGGATTCTTATCACAAGTTGTGTTATTACGAGTTGTGTGTACCCTTCTGCACTTGCTTACTTCTATGCATATTCTCATTACTCTAATTGAAGCTGGGCGGCAGTAAGCTCTAAGAACTGTGATACTTTTGAAGACATTGCTTAGGAATTCATTAAAAAGACGTTGAATTGAAGCCAGCAGCTTTAGAAGTTGTCTGTTTGCATCAGGTAACTAATTCGAGGAATATTTGTATACTCAACAAGCGCCTGAAGTGGCAATTGAAAGCCACACGGCGTATACTTAATACCCGTCTAATTAGTGCCCTAATAGGCTGTCGCGTTGCTGCATACGCAGCTGGCGACGACATGTGAGCAGCACTTGACTTAGAGCCCGGTTTGTCACTTGTTCTACTTGCAGCTATAACTGGATTTGTAAGAGCGACAGAAACCGCAACCGCAGCAACAGATAGAGCTGAAGCAAACCGCAGCAACACTTGTTAAGTGTGGTAGGTGCGAGGCAAAGTAAACAGCAACGCCTTCACATTGGATTACGCGCAGTTTTACTTTAGACCGGAGCCAATTAGTGGCCAACAGCAACAACAGCGACTACAGCAGCAGCTAGCGCAACAACAGACGCAACAGACGCAACAACAGCTGCAGCTGCAGCGACAGCAACAGCAGCAAGTGCAGCAGCAATTGCTCGCCCAACAGCAGCAGCAACTGCAGATCCAACAACTTCAACAGCAACTGCTGCTGCAACGGCTAGAGCGTGAGTTGCAGCAGCAACACCACCAACAGCAGCTAGCCCAACAGCAGCAGCAAATCCTCTACCATCAGCGACAACACTACGGACGACATCGTTGGCTCTCAGGCGGCAACCACTACAATTACACGCCGCTACACCAACAACAGCACCACCACCACCAGCAGCAGCAGCAGCAGCAGCAGCAGCAACAACAACAGCAGCAACAACAGTACAGCTATTACTTCAGTCGAGGCAGCAGTAGCAGCAGCGGGCTGGGTCTAGGCCTGGGCTTGGGCTTGGGCTTCGGTTTGGGCAGCAGTAATCTAGCCAGCTGGTACCATCTACCATCGACGTCGGCTCACATCTACATTGGCAGCAGCAGCACTGGCGGCGCTCCATATCCCTATCGGCTAGGCTACAGCGGCGGGGGCTATCCAGCAGCAGCGTTGATTAACTTTGACACGTCGCCCACACCGCTGCTATCGTCTACAGGCAGCTCGCCTGGGTATTTGCCGCCACTGCCGGCTCCGGCATTGCCACCACCACCACCGGCGCCCAGCGTAGCGACCGATTACTACTTTAGCAGCAGCAGTAGCAGCCGGGCGCCCGCAATAGTTAGAGCCGAGCCGTTTCAGGAGTACGCAGCGGCGGCAGTTGCAGCGGCGGAAGAGGAGCTACAAGCTGGCGGCTATCGTTACAAGGCAACGCCACGCCGGCGCTACGACGCCTACGACAACTACGGCTATCTGCCGGGCCTTGCCAGCACCACCGAGGACGAGGACGATCTGCTTGAGGAGTGCCTCCCGGCGGCCTTGCTATCCACGGACTGCGAAAGTCTCGAGGACGTACGCTTTCTCGAATACAATAGCAACCACCACCCAGAGTACTACGACGACGACGACGAAGAGGCCCAGCTGGCGCACATACTCGATCTTGATCTGCCCGATTTTCTGCGCCCTTACAGCAGCAGCAGCGGCGGCGGCGGCGGTAGCAGAAACAGCCACAAAACGCCGCCACAACACGAATATCAAACGGAGCACGGCAGCGCAGCCGGAGCAGTGGCAAGCGGCGGCGGCAGCGGCGGTGGCGACGGCGGCGGAGGGAGAGGCAGCGCAGCAGCAGCTAGTGGCAATCAATCGCATCGCGAGACGGAACAGCAACGCTACCATCACTACCAGCAACAACAGCAGCAGCAGCAGCAGCAACACCAACAACAGCAACAGCAGCAGCAGCAGCAAAGCCAATATCCACACCAACATCAACATCAACACCAACAACAGCAGCAGCTGCAATCGCAGCAGCAACAGGCCTATCAGTCCTACCAATACCCCTCGCACGACAGCTGTGAGGGCTTCAATCAATTTGCCAACGACGCCAGCAGCTGCCTGGGCAATCAAAGAATGATGGTTAGCAAGTTGTGGAATAGCTGCTTTCCGGAGTTTACGCCGGATCACGTACATCGGCATAACTTTTATCTGTGCCAGGTGAGCGAAATGGCACCAACAGCCAAACTCAGCATGTAAAAGACCACAAGATACCCTGTAAATCTATTCAATTAAATAAAATTAGCTTACATACATTGTCAGTAGATACGACTGTTAGGCATATATATATTCAGTCTCAGGATCAGCACTCGACTCAAGCTGATCGTACCGATCGCTCGTCCTTCTGTCCTCTAAAGATAGGCTCTCTTTTAAACCTTGTACCTCTAATTTGGTATAAATTATAGCCAAATATCGACTAGGCCCTATGTCTCATGGCCGCTGTTCATCTTGACACAGGTCTCTGGATATCTGCTAGTCGGGAATGCCCAACTAGCGACAGCTGTAGTAAAGCTAATTTAATCAAATATTGTAATATGAAGCCAGGTGCTCTGGCAGGCAGGCAGGCAAAATTTCAGTTTCAGCGCCTATTTCAAGAGTTATTGAACAAATATTATTAAGACACTTCTCTACAGAGAACGAGTTAAAAGATAGACAGAACTTAAGAACTGGCCAAGCTGTATTTGTGGCTGTAGTGCTCTACGCGTTTCACACAAGACCTCAATTTAGAAAATATATTATCAAAAGGCTTAATTGAGTATTTAATTTAACACAATTTAACGTATTTTCATATACTTTCTTATCCCACAATGATCAACTCCGCAGTGGCAACGCAACACTCAGGTGCGCATTGTGTATCTGTTCTATCGCTGGATAACGGCGATAACCTGTTTGGCGGCCTTAGTGTGCTCGTTGCTGGATATTGGGCGCACCGATGAGCACTTCGAGCATCACTATGCCAAATGGTGGATCTATCTGACCCACTGGGGGCTGCTATTTTGCACTGTCCAGGCATGGCTGGCCGCCTGGATAGTCACCCAGGGCATGATGGTCGAGCGCGAGGATTTCGAGATTGTGCGCCAGGCGAAGAAGAGCCGCTTGCACCATCTCTACTGGGTGCTGTACACCTGTGCCACCGTCTACGCCTTTATTGTTACAATGTGCTACTGGCTGCTCGTCCACAATCCCGGTAAGTAAATAGTTATCCAAATCAATATAAACAGATAAATAAACAAAAATAGTAAGTGACAACTGTTTGATTCGACTGGACTCAATTCCCTGCTTCATATGTCAGACTAAGGGATTCCTTATCACAAAACACCAAAGACATGCATCTCTTAATCTCAATGGACTCGTGGGCGATGTGACTCACAACAACCAGACCGCCCACAGTGCAGCCAAAGGTGATAAACATTTTGGCCGCCTGCCTCAGGTAGCTGCATCTCCAGTAGCTGTCCCGGAGATCGCCGTGCAAATGAAACGCATTATACATGGTCCAGGGCCCGAAAAGCATTAGGCAAATGACCAGCGGAACATATAAGTGCATGGCGAGGCTAGTGACCAGAGCCACGGTACTTGTGACAAGCACACTGATGCTTAAGAATACCAGTATCCAGAGATTGACGGTAAGAAAGGCTGGCAGCCAGAGACCCAACAGCGTGTATATCAACAATATGACTACGCTGACCACAATGAAGTGCCAGGTCAGTTCCATGTCGTACGTGCAGATACACATGACAAGCAGAGTGAGACTCTCGAATATGCACACGAACACAATCCAGTTGATGGGCGATGTCATCTGTAGACGGCGAAAGCCGAAAAAGGCCAATGTCAGATTTAGCCAGATCAAGAACAACACCAGCACATGGAAATTACGCTCCGGGCCACTCATTCGCACTCGCATTCGATAGGTGGCCACCAGCCACTGGAGCGTGGACATGCCCACCTGGATGATCAGCAGCACATAGACCTGGGCGAGGTACCCGATGCGCGACGGCTTACTCCTGAAAATGTCCGACCCGGACTCGAACGGTGGTATATACTGAGTATTTGTGCTTGTGTCATGCGATATGGAAGTGTCCTCCACTAATATACTGGTGTTCGATTGCGGGGCCTTTGGTGTTTTCGTGTCTGTTTGCGTTTCCGCTGACCGTACGTAAAGTTCCGGCGCTGACGCATATTTGTTAGACAAGTTGCTTGTCAAATAACACAGCTCCATTTCCCAGACTTGACTGACAAATGGTTACAAAAATCTACACTTTGATGTAAATAAAATTAAAAAAAAAAAAAAAAAACAACAACAATAGCAGCATTAATCAGCTAAACACAATACATAACTTGATGAGCGATCCGCCGCGTGGATTGCCGCAGAGCTTGCTCAGCTTTTATCTGCAACTATTTGGAGCTGCTTCCGCATATATAGTATCGGCCGTATTAATGCTTCAAGTCGTTTACCTATCGTATTATCAGACCACCGAACGGAATGGACTAGTTGCATTACTCTTATACGTAACTGGTCTGATCTGCTTATGCATTTACGTGAACATACTTTGGCTCCGACGCAAGTATCCGCACAATTGGGTCATTTGCTCTACCATAGCCGCGTTGCTTGGCTTGGGCAATGCCTTTCTGTTGACCGGACAGGATTCGGAAAAATTACTCGGTGTGCTGGAAGTTATAGCTCTGATGTGCATCTACCTATCTATGGGAGTTTGGCTGCCGAAACGTTTAACTCCCGTTCGTTATGTTACTGCCGTGTTCGTCATGGTGGTAGTACTTACAGTCGGTGCTCTATTACTTCTGTGGAATTTTTCTGATCAACATACCGACCTAATATTGTACAGCGTACATGGCATACTGATAATAGTGATGTGTCCCTTAATGATATTCCAAATGCAAGTGTTCAGCGGCATAATTTGGGACTTCGCACCAATTCTGGACATACCGCTCTGCTCTGTTATCCTGCTGATTGACTTTTTGGCCTGTTATTCCTTTGTCGATGCTGACGTTGATATTGCGCGGACTTTAGAATTACTCTCCGAACGCAACCGTCGAATGTTTAATCAAATGTCCAATATGTAACCCCCTTAAGTACTTATTTTTGTAATGTAACGAAAACCAAATCACATAAAAGTAAATCGGGCACCAGAAATGAATTGTGTTAGTTACACTAAACTGCAAGAATGAGCTTGAGAACAAAGATAGGTAAGCAGACACCCAATGTTATGGATTAACTCATGCTTGTAGTCTTCCTTAGTACATACTCAATCGGCGGACTGATGCAATCAAAATTTATATCTAATCAATATGTCAACAAAATTATAAATTCAAACCATTTAAGAAAGGCAAACAGACGCTCAGTGATGTTTACAAAGCCTATATTTTTAGTAGATTGGGAAATGTCTTCTTTGGGCCTACTTATAAAAGCCTCCATGTTGGATGAGTGTAGAAAGCCTTTGTACTTATGGCTGAGATCTAATAGAAATGGTCAAGTTTGTGAAAGTGAGCAGAATGTTGGGCTTCTTACCTTTAAGATATTTACTCAATACAGACTCACCCTTTTAGACAAAAATGAATTTACTCCATTTCAGATTGACATTTTCGTATACTTTTGATTAATTTTGTATATTTGAATTTGTAAATGTTTTAATGAACGTATTTACATTTTACCTGCCATTCCGCCCGACTCTCTATAGATATCCACAAAATTGACGCCTTGAACATCATGGTCCACGTATTGAACACCATCATAATGCTCATCGATCTGGCTATTGTGGGACATCCGATTAAGATGAGTCACGCCTACTTTACCACTGGTATTGGCCTGGCATATGCCATTTTTACGGGCATTTACTTCTTGGCCGGCGGCACAGACAGGTAAGCGTATGAGAAATGCCAATTGCCAATATGTCTATAGAAATATTATTTGTTTGAAGGAAAAATCAAACTGCCATCTATCCGATGATGGACTGGACCAAGCCGGGCAAGGCCATCATTGTGACAGCGTGTGCCATAATTTTCACGTTCTTCGTGCACTTCTGCTGCTATCTGCTCTACCGTGGACGCGTCTGGCTGTTCACCAAGCTCTGCATACGCGGTCGCCATAATCGCGATGGTGAGATGGGCGAGGGCCTCAATGATGATTCTGGCTCGCGTATGGGTGGAGGCGGCGGTGGTGTTGGTGGTGCAGCTACTGTAGTTGGCGGCGGCGGCAGCAGCCAGGACTATGCACATCAGCAGCAGTATCCCATTGCGCACACGGAGCAGCCGCGGGCCATTTCACAGCAGCCGCCAGCCAGCTACCAGCTGCCTCCACAATATTCGGGCTATCTGCAACAGCCCGTTGTGGCCGGTGTCAATGTGGGCGTGGTCAGTGCTGATGGCGTCTATCAACCAATTGGCACTGATTCGGGCCGCACGAGCGGAGGCGGCGCTGTGGATGGCGCCAGCAAGCACAAGAGCTCTAACTCTGGTGCTGGCGTCGGCTCCGGTTCCGGCACTGGCTCGGCTTTGACACGTACGGTCGCCCATTTGGACGCGGCACAGCGGGAGCAGTTCCTCAATCCCAATAAGATCGTCGAGTATAAGATGTAAAGGCGTTGTACCCGGCACCGGTATACGTTCCGCTTGTCCATGAAGTTTCTGGAGAAGCACTGTGCACAATGCGAGGCGGCACGTCAGGCCGTCAGCGAGGAGCAGCGCCACCTGGCGGCGGCCGAAGCGCATGCGCACAGTGGTTAGTTTAAGATTTGCTTCTGCTGTTTAATTTCCAAGCCAGCCTGCCCAGCCAGGCAGGCGTTGGCATTGTGTAGCCTGTATTTGGTATTCTTAGACTGTAAATGTAGTTTCGTAATTTTGTAAAAGCTTTGCCAGTTTTAGTAAGCTGCAGCTACAGTAGTAATTCGTTTTGTGCGCCAGCGCCCACAACTGCGTTAGCTGGCTGCTAAAGAAACTTATATATATCTTTTAACTATAGATGTATGTAGTTGTCGTATCCTGTATAGAGTATAGACAGACTCATCGATTTAGAGCGATTTCAGATCTTTTCAATGGACTAAGTTGAACATTCTTATGTTCCAACTACACACACACGCACCCAAAAAGCCAAAGAAAAAAACACTTTCCCTAATTTAATTAAAAGCAAATTGTGTTCAGCAAATATGTAGGCGACTATATAAACACACAGCGTCCATTAATTAATAATTTTGTTGGCTAAGCTATTCACAGCAAAAAAAAAACAACGCATACTGCCTAAAGACCTGGCACACACACACTTACACACACACACACACACACACTCACACTCTCACACAACTTCAATTTTCTAAATTTTCTGGTAATTTTTTAGTTTCTGCTTGATTTGAAAAAATCTTATTTATGTATCGGTGCAGGAGTACAACAACAGCAAGCGCAAGCTGAGTGTTCCAAGTAGTTTTTCGTTTGGCATTTGCTCGCATTGAGGACACTGTGCGCGTGCCTAATAAGTTTTTATCATCAGTATTTCGTGGTGCATGGCAAAAAAAAAATAACTTTTTTATTATATAAACAAAAGTAAGCTTTAGGAGATGCTTGACACTGCTTAGGAGTTTACCAAAGAAAAGAGAGAATAAAAAAATAACAGAAAAGAAAAATATATATAAATTAATTACCGAGTAAAATTAAAACAAAAAGAAGAGTATTTCAAAGCAATCTCACATGCTGCATACAAAATATGAAAATATGAAAAGAAAAATAAATAAATGAGTAAAATCAAATGAATAATAAGTGCACGGTATTAAGAATTATAAACAGTTATCTAAATCAAATATTAAAAACCTTTCAAAATTGAAAAACTAGCTTGTACGATGTTAACCGTAAAACACACAAATTAAAACAGTATTAAACCGAGTTATAAATTGCTCAGAAAACCAAAAAAAAAAAAAAACAAAAACAAAATATGAATAAAATTAGAAAACATAGTTGTACGATAGACTTAAAATATTGAAATAATTAATGGGCCTACCTTGTACCACAATTCACAATGACCTGAACACCTGGACAACAATATGAAACACCTGCAAGAATAATAAATGAACTCAATAATACTTATACATATGTATTATAAATACTTACGTCTATGTAAATATTTGTGTTTCAATGCGTTCTATATATGCATATATGTACATATATGCTGTATATGTATATAAATATATATATATACATACCTATATTAAATCAATGTTGAGAATATAAATCAAAAAGCCTAGTAAATACTACGTGAAATGTTGCAATACAAAACAAAATTGAAAAACGACCGAAAAACCGAAGAAAACAAAAATCAAATGCAATGAATAAAACTCGTCAAGAGGAATGTGTTAACAAACAAATAGATACAAAAGATATTTAACTACACACACACACAGATACACAGACACATACACACATATACATAGTATATATATATACAATAAATGCAAATGAAAAATGAAAAATGAAAAACAATAAATAATGGCATAGTAGTATATCATACACAATGTCTCTTAGATATACGAAATATGTGTAATTTACAATTAATTTTCGATAGATTTACATAAAACCCACAATATAAATAGACGGCACATACATAAGCATACACAGCCTATAAAGCAAAAATAATAATAAAATATAAATAAAAAGAGAACAGTTGAAATACATTTTAAAAACATAGTAAGTGTATATGTTAGGAGTTTTAACGCAGTTTTTCGTTGAAATTTGTCTTCTTAAATACCCTGTGGATTTTGTAGCTGATATGTGAAGTGAATATTAAAGTGGTTTCTCGGCTAACATATAGTTCTACTGATTGTCCATCCGATTACAGCCTGAAGTCGTGTAAGTGACCTTCTCTCCTCGAATATCCTCAATATGCGAATGATTCTAGATTTTTCTTTTATTGACGGTATCAGCTCGAATCCCAATCCGATTTGAATCCGATTAGTACACACAATTAGCTTTGGCAGTTACTCTTTGAGTCTGCATGGGTATTGCATAATCTCGGTGCTCCGAAGATTTATTTTTTATGATTTGTATTTTTAATCATGTTCTTTTTTAGCATATATATATTCGATTGATTTTCTGTTTTTGTCGGGGTTTTAGCAGAACTGAAAATATGCTTCATATTTTTGCTTTGCGACCTTTAGCATATATGTATAAATGTATGTTTATATAGACTGAATATTATTAAAAAAAATATATAAATAAAAACATCAGAACAAAATATAAAGTAAATGAAATAAATTAACAAAATTTAAACCAGTTTTTCGGATATTAATACAAACAGTTTCGGATTGTGTAATATATATAAAGCAAATTGTATTAGCCACAGCAACAAACAAAAAAAAAAAAACAATAAGCACATATCAATAATTAAAAGGAAACAAAAATTATAAATGAAAAAAAAATTAAAAATAAAATATTAAAATTATATTCTTCAAAAGAAAACTCAAAGTTGCATATTCTAAAACCAAAAACCAAATCAATGTTGACCTCATCAAAACAAAAACAAACACATAACAGTAACTCTTAAAAACAAAAACCAAAAAACAAAAAAAAACATAATATATGTTAAACAATCATTATAATATGTATACACATGTATGTATAATATACGCAATTAAGTTTAAGAGAGGAAATTTAAATATTATATTTTGTAGATTTTTAGTAAAGTAGCCAAAATGTCAAGATATACTTATATATCTACTATATATACCTACTATAACCACGCATACATAACATACATTAATGATCATCTCATCTGGAGTCGAGATGCAGAATCTGTAATTGTATTTGAAATGAAATGTTCAAGCAACAAACGAGAAATGGCAAAGCTTTAAGATACTAGAACTGTTGGACGGAAACCTTTTACAACTGGATAAATGTGACAAATGTTTCAATTTTCAGTTTTCAGTTTTCACTTTTCAGTTAGTCAGTTTTTAGCAACAGTTGTTAGCTCATCTACTACATGTATTTGATAGTGTAGTACGCATATCCCATAAATTGCTCAGCAGGCGACATATTAGCAGTTAGTGACTAAATCTATAGTTAAAACCAACATCCAAAGCTTATTAAAGGAAACAAAAACAAAAATTAATTACAATTTTAAAGACCCAAAACTTGAAAGAAATGCATACGCGTATACACAGCTGCTATACGTTTAAAAATATATTTAATTGTGAAGTTTAACAAAAGCTACATACAAAGAAATAAATTAGATCTAAAGCCAAGTGTTTACCTTTAAAGTATTTCTCCGCATTTAAGCAAAACGAATAAAAAACTTTATGAAATTGAATGAATAATAAACAAGAAAACAAAACTGTTCAAAATTATAGCACCAATTGCAAACACCTCTCAATTGTGTTTAAAATTAAAAGAACAAAAATGAAAACAACTTACAAAGCATATTTCAAACAAAGGTTTTTAAAACAGAAACACTACACACGAAGAAGAAGAAGAAAAATAAATTTTGATTGTTGATTGATCATCGATGAATGAGAAACACACTAAGGATAAGCTTACCGAATGGAGAACTACATCTATTATTACAACAAGAAGAAGAATAACAACAATATATACACACATATATTACTATATATATGTATAAAAATAAACAAATGAACAAATAAACCCATACAAATACCCATATATATACTATATATATGAATATATATACTTTAATAATATAAAGTATGAATACCTATTATTATGTATTTGAAAGCAAACCATTGTGAATTAGTATTAAAACAACCAAACAACAAACAAGAAAGGTGGTAAATAAAGATTGTAAACGAAATCAATAAAAATGTGTAGAAATCATGTTTTTGCTATAAGCAATGATCTCCGACCCCATTGATTCTAATTTATTTTTACAGATCAAGCTCTATCAGAGCTCGGCGTACATGGATTCCACCTTCGGCCTATTTTGTGTGACATTTAATTTGGCAATGTAAGCCATCTTTGCTCTAGAGATCTGTAGAAACGGAAAGAGTTCCTTAGCCAAAATCAGTTTACTACTCATCATACTGATTATATTTAGAGGAAAGATGTTGAGGAGAAATTATTATATTAAATATTAAATAAATAATTTATATATATATACATAAATATATATATATATATATATATATATATATATATATATATATATATATATATATATATATATATATATATATATATATATATATATATATATATATATATTTTATATATATATACATACTTCACTTCTCTTTCAGTTTATCCTCTACATCTTTCCAAAACACCCGCTTACATAATAGTTTTATTACTCTCGTTCAAGAAGTGTAAGAAGTGTGCTGTCCGTCCGCCTCTCTGTACATAGAAGCATATACTCTTTAGAACTTTCGTCTTCAAATCTGTTAAGATTTCCTCCTCATGTCTTTTAGTTTATACGTCCATTTATTTATTTTATATATAGTTTATACGTCCATTGCATGCGTCATAAATCGGAAACGATACACTTTTAACATCCTTTATTGATTTACCAAGCATGATAATTGTCTTTTGGGAGCATGGCAAATCAGAAGAAAGAATTTTCTTTGTTAGAACTAGAGCTAGATCTAGAGCTAGAGCATTTGGGTTAATGAACCCATTTGAGATTTTCCAAAAACGATTGAACTGCAGTATTATTCAGTCGGTGCCACCCGACTATTACGTTCTATAAATCTGATCCATTCGGCCACCACTTTTAAATTTGATTTCGGATTTCATCAACTAGCAACAATGTCGATATATGTTTCTTAACTTCACCAGATATAAAGTTGTGGGAAGGAAATATTCCAATCTTTCTACGATTATTTTGTACATACATTACACATAACATATATACAGGCATGCATAACCGCGCGTCTGGGCGTATGGGCCTTACTATAGGAATTTAATTACTGGATAACTATTGTTCGATTCGAGATAGGATTTTTGCAAATTGTTGAATACGAGAGGAAGTTATCAAAAAGAAACCAGTTAAACCAGTTTCGACTCGCAAGGCGCATTAAATTGGTTCGATTCAGCGGCTTTTATTTTGTATATATCTGTTTCTTTTTCTTTATGCATCACGAGGTTTTTTTACCTTTTGTGTTTCCAGTTTTTACGTTTCGTCTTTGGTTTGATTAACAGTAGCATCCATATTGCTCATCACCTTTCCTTGACGAACAGAACGGCTAATTTTTTTACATATATATACTGAAAAATAGAAGCCATATGCACCCCAGGCAAGTATACCATTATAATTAACAGTAATTTCTGAATTTATACATTTAAAAAGCTTGCGGACCGCATTTAACTGATGTAATTTAACTGAAGTAAACTAAATCCTGCAATGTCGCCTCATGGTCTAGAAAAGTTGAGAAGTTTCAGAATTCTAGGTGGATTTAGTATTATTATATAATCAGTATCGTTTAAAATCTCGTATAAATTGTAGTTTTAGCTTACATTATTTAAATATAGTTCCAATCAACACAGAATTTAGTTTTCATCAAATTTATTAATATATGCGGGGTCTAATACTTAATACAAAATCTATTTGTCGTTTTCTTTATTTTCACACAGTTATAATTGATTTCGGTTTTAGTTATAGATACATTTAGTTTTACATTTACTTTTACTTTATTATTAAATAATTAGTAACATAATTTGGTTTACTGCGACTTAAACATTAATCATCGTTTAAATGTATACATAATCACTTTATTTTCCATTCACTTCGCTTTACTTTTGTGTAATGCAACAAATCGTAGAAACAAATACATATAGGGAGACTGCGAAAGTTAAGTTATTACACTTTATATCACGTATGGGGATGGGCCTTTCTCTTGTTGGCAGAACTTGGACAAAATAACAAAATCTTATGCGAAAACAATATAAAAGCCGTTTTAGTAAGTCATACAAAATAAGTGCAAATAATTTAAGAAAATTAATTTTGTAACTGAAAAATTCGTCGCTATCTCGGTGTTCTTCGTATCTAAGAGAGTTTCAAATAGGATGGCGGCGAGCACTTCTTGCGCAAGAATTTGATTATGTACAGGGGCAAGCAGGAGACAACTGTAATAAGTGATACCTTCCAGAGAAAATCGTAAGACCAAATGAATTCCCAATCTGAAAAAATAAACAAATAATATAAGAAAACGGTTATAACAGTTATAAATCATTAGTATGCTCACCGAAATAATCGTGTAGCACCGCCAGCGAGATGAGATATAAAGCCAAGCTGAATAGTTCCGCCAAGACCATGAGCCTACGACAAATCAGAAGATAAATAAAGCTTTCGAAAGTCATAAAAGTTTGAAGTGGTCTAACCTGTGCCAGGTGCGCACCGTCAATGCCACCATGATAAGCTCTGTCATAATAAGCGCTGAGAAACTGATTGCTACAATGTGTATAAACTCATCCACGAAGAGTATCAGCGCGCCATACATGATAACGCCACCCTGGTAGATGCTGATCAGCACCCAGATGAAGAATGTCTTATAGCTAAGACTGCGCCCCTTTGACAGATCCTTGTAGAGCTCCGGATATGTGACAGCTGTCTCTGATGTAATGTCCTGATCTAGAACCAGCGAGAACACAGGAAACATGGTGTACACCGTGGAATAGCCCACCATCAAAAAGCCCTGATACAGAGCCACAGAGCTCAAATAAAATACCGCCGAGAAAACAGCTTGCAGTGTGGTAATTATTAATCCACGATGAATGACGAACTGGGAAAGAGCTGCTGAGCGTTTATAACTGCGTCGCCCATGGATCAGCAGCAGCTTGGCAATGTGCGAGAATTGTGGAATGCTAAAGTCTCCAGCCAACGATGCCTGACGGCCTTCGCGTCCCTCGATTCCCACACCTGCATCCGCTTGCTGAATCATGCTTACATCGTTACCACCATCGCCCACGGCACACGTACGCTTGCGTGTGTGCTTCTGGATGAGAGACACCACCTGTGCCTTTTGGGTGGGCGAGCAGCGGCAACAGACGACCGCTGGCGAAGCGGTGGCCAGCTCCAAAAACTCTAGTCGATAATACTGTAGGCACACCTCCAGTGATTCGCCGGATATAACCAGTGCGTGCCCTTGCTTGCGCCGGAACTGATTTAGCTCCTGGTGCGCTTCCGTTCGTGTCTTGACAGAACGCAACACATGTAAGCCTTGATTACGGCCAATAAGCTGCGATGATTTTGCAATACAACATGCGGTCTCCAGCTTATCGCCCGTTAACATCCAGACACGTACGCCAGCATTGCGCAACAGTTCAAGCGTGGGACGCACGTTTTCTTGCAAGCGATCCTCGACTCCCGTGAGACACAGCAGCTCCATTTCACGTTCTAGAGACTCAGTAACGGCGGCCACCTTGGCAACACGATCCGTAATGCTAAGCCGTGCGGCATTGTAACGCATCTCAAAATCGTTATACTGCTCATCGCTCAACACTTTTTTTGCGACGACGAGCGTGCGTAGACCCTCACGCGCCATGTTGCCGGACTCTTCGCTGAGCCAGTCGTTGTACTGGACAATCGTGGACATGACCACATCGGCACCCTTCAAATAAAACGTTATCTGACCCGACTTGGTCTCACGTACAATGATACCCATACGCTTGCTTTCGCTCGTAAATGGAAACAGCTGCAATATCTGGTACTGCAATAGTATGTCATCTAAAAAATAATTAATGTTAGTTATGAAATCGTTATTGATATTGTTACGTTTGCGCTTACTCTCATCAGAGGCGGTCTTCACCTGAAGGGTCATGGTATTTAAATCTCGTGCGATCAGTGTTAGGCCCACCTGTTCGGTCCACTTGACCAAGGCTATCTCATCTGGTGAGGCGGCCTGATATTGATGCTCTGTGTCAGTGCTGCCTGGTGCCTCAATGTTTATCACAGATTTTGTGGGCGAATTATTTCCGCCAGTCACCGTCGATGCAGTGGATACCGAATGACTGTCGTCATCATCGCTCACCGGCGTCACATTGTGGCACAAGGCTAAAGCACGCACCGCTTCCCATTCGCGCCAACCTTCGGGACGACGCATACGATTACCAGCAAACATGATTGGTTTAATTGATTCGCCGGCGCTGCTGGAGCTGGAGAGGCTGCCTTGTTGCTGCTGTTGCTGCAGTATATTTCCCGACAGTTTCTGTATTATCTGACCAATGTGGTGGAAAGTATCCGCATCGTGTGATACTATTCCTAGATGTATCTTCTTAAAGACCATTTCGTTTTGGGTTAACGTGCCCGTCTTGTCGGTTAGCACATACGAGATGCGGCCAAGCTCCTCGGGTATGGTGGTGGAACGTACAACGGTACCTTTAATATTGTCATCATTTTGCATTTGCCACGAATAGAAGGCCTTGCCCATATCGAGATTCACGCGCAGACTGATCGGTATAATGTATGAGAAGAGCAGAACAAAACGGAACATATAACGATACCAAGGACCACCAAATCCCTTAAGCATCATCATAACCAAAGAGAGTCCCAGGACGGCACAAAATAGCACCTGTTAAATTGGAAAAAAAACGGTCATTATAAAAGTATTTAACAGTCATGCCAATATGTATCTACCTTGGTCAGCCCGTTTATCTCAGTGTCAAGCAGTCCCACTTTGGAACGAGGTTGAGAGTTATTCATCACACTGCGTGTCTCACAGCCTGTGTAGATGACAATTCCTGTGGCGGTGCCAGCGGCGACAACTGTATTAGCCCAGAGAGTGTTCTCCACGCTTAGGCCGGTGTCTTCACTGCCATCAGTCACACAAAAGGTGGCAATAAAACTGTGTATATCATTCTGCGGCTTCTCCACATAGAAACTTGCGTCGATATTGTACAGATCTGCGTCCCGACACAGTTTTTGGGTGTAGGGCACTGCTAAGCGTGGTTTCCAGTCTGTCTCACCGTCCAGTTGATCGGTGCGAACAAAAACGGAGCCGCTGCGATCGCTGGTGCGCAACAAGATAAGATCCGCAGGCACTCGCTCGTTCTTCTCCACAATGATCACATCGCCCACTTTAAGCTTAGAGCTGGGCACCATCTCGTAGCCATTACCATGCGCAGCCGAAAGACGTTTGTATTTCTGCGAGTTGACCTCACGATCGCGCTGATGCCGACGCAGATCATCCACCCCCTCCCTGCAAATGGTGACCATCAGCACAAAGCCAAGCGGACCCCAGTAGGTGTACGGATAGCCAATGCGGATGTCCGGATATAATTGCGAAAGCGCCATCAACAGAAAGTACAAGTTGAGAAAGAAACGAAACTGTTCGAACAACACCAGCGGCAGGAACGTGATGAAATTGTACTTCTGGTTGCGTATCTCATTTGGCGGAAACTTCTCTGTATTTGGCCTGCCCAAGTTGACCGTCCGGGCTCGTAGCTCTCGTGGCCTGAACCATTTCTTCCAGCAGCTGTAAGAAAATCACAATTTAATCAATATATAGATAAACGTAAAACCACCCAGTTAAATGTTAAGTTGTCCTCTTGCTAACAAATCTTATCTGATGCGTACGTTTTTTTGGGCCGGATCTGAGTTTGGCCCGAGCTTAAATCAAGCAAGCAAGGCGACGCTTGCATTCGGAGTTAACCAAATTGTGGCATTTATGAAGGCTTTTGTGGAAATTTTTGATTAACGTGAATCGGAAAATAATTCAAATGAGGCGAAAATACTTTGCTGTAAATAAACATTCTTTACTATTTTAAAATGTTAAAACTCTTTAAATTCTTTTTTAAATAAATATGTATTTAAAGGGAAATCTAAAGAAAATATTATTTGTAATTATAGGGTAAAAGACAGTAGCTATTGTGCTTGGTTTTTATAAGTTTAGTTGCATATATTTGCAGCAACATTAGAAAATTAATTCAAATCACATTTCAAATTATTTTGGAGGTAAACTTCAATGCCAACTAAACATTAGTTCAAGAGGTATCTCGAAAATTGGCATTATCTTATTCCAATAAATATTTGCTCACTGATGTGATATAACCCATAAAAATATCTTTAAATAATTTAAAAAATTGAAACAAATTAATTACAAAAAAAATGTATATATGAGTTTTAAAACATTATTTGTTTGATAAAAAAGAAAGAAAAAGCAAAACTAAAATTAACATCATACAATATTCGAAATGTGTAACGGTTTTTATTATTTTTTTTATCAGTTCCACTTAAGCAGTATAGGAACTCAGCTGATTCCGTCTAATCTTAGCTTTGAGCAAAATGAAAAATAACATGCAGTTCCGCAGAACTAGATAATACATTCATTGCTTTATAAACTGTGAACACAGCTTTAAATTTCAGAAAGAAAAGTGACCTTGGCAAAAAAAAATCAATAATATTAAATCTAATGTGCATGTGTATATGAAACCACAAAGAATAAAGTACACGCAACCAAATCATTCATATCTACATATATATACATGTATATATTAAAAACTGACATACAAATGCGTGGGGAGTCAGTAGATAGGTTGTCACAAAGAGAGTGACAAGCGGGAGAGTAAAGAACATTGCTATTAACTGCAACGGCGCTCTGCAACATGATTGTCTCTCATGCGGAGCGAAGGCGGGGAATCAAATGCTGATAAACCAGATTCGCCGTTAGGCGAAACTGGGGGTCATGGATGTTATGATGATTCACCTGAACGAATACCAACGATTGCGATGTCGGTTCAGCAGTGGAATATTCTCTCTGGTCATAGGTGCCGCAGCAGAAATTTGTGAAGTGCCGTCATCCATTTTACCCGATTTTTGTAAATAACAATTCTTTGCCGAATTTTTTATAGTTTTTATAAACGGGGGCTGAGCTGCCTTAGCGCTTTGTTCTGGCAGCAGCAGCAGCTGGGTAGTTGTTTGTTTTTGTTTTTGTATCGCTTTACACAATAATATGCATAGTGCATGGTACACGTTTCACAAAATGCATCTACATGCCAATCTAATTAAATCGAATCACACTTCAGTCGTTAAGTGCAGCCACTAAAAAATTCTTATGCACAAATTAACCCAAACGAAAAATTCCGTGTCAAAACTACGTTGTCTGGCATTTGTTTAACAACCCTGTTTCCTAACGAAAAGAGAAATCAATACAACGACCGTACACATGCGTGTGAGTGAATGCACACTATCTCCATGCGCGTGATTGGTGTTGAAAGAGCGCAGCTATGTTTTATGTCTTAAACAGTCTGGCAGCATTATTCTAATTATGGCGCGCATTTAAAGTGGCCTAACGTTATGAAATTGCATAACGTAAGCAATTCAGCTGATTGCGCACATCGCTGCGTTCGCATAGACATGTTAATTAAATAAGCTTCGTCAGGCTTTCGTTTCAGCAATATAAACAACTTAGAGCATACGACTCCGCTAACTGCTTATTTGCTTTTGCTCTCTGCGTAAACTTGTTTCTGACTTTATGGGGCAAATTATGGTGACTCGAGTAGCGGGCGTTGGGCGTGTCAACGTATTTGCCGTCTATACATATATTATTCATCTTAAAAAAATAAACTTTTGTCAATAGTGGCGTTGCGTTTATGGCTTATGATCTCATACTCAAAAGTTGTCCACGGTACAAAAAAAACCATAAAACTAAAGAACGAGAAATACCATCATGAATAACGACAACAAAAACAATTACCATTCAACATTGGCAATAAACCATCAAAAAGTGAAAAAGGTTCAATGACATCAACGTGCTTAATACTGTAAAAAATTCCAAAAATTGAGAAATGACCAAAGACAAAGATCTCGACCAGGCCAACACCGAGACAAAGGGTCTACCCTCTGTTGTAAAAGTCAACTGGAGAACGTTCACACAAATCTCTCTCTCTCTCTCTCTCTCTCTCTCTGTGTCTGAATCTATATCTCATTTGGGTCTGAGTCACAGACTGCAAATATCACTTCAAAACGCTGAGCCGCTATATTGTCACCGTTCCATTTCCTTAGCTCGTGCCCAGATAGTTTTATATATATAGTTTCTTATTTTCTGCTTCGTTGTGTTGCTGTTGTGCTTACTCACAATTGCTTAGCCAAGCCAAAAACGTAAACAACAATTATAAAACATGTTTTATTTGGCATTTCCTTACCCTCGACTAATTGCAAAATGCGAAATGCATTCGCTGCATTTTACTTTCAGAGATATTACAGCACGTCCCAGAATTACGAATACACATATCTCTATACGAAGATGTACATGTAGACAGATATATGCGAAACGTTTTCAGAACTGCTAACAATTAATATCATTGTTGTTGAAGCTCAAACATGAATTTTGCCGTTGTTAAATTGTTACACAATTGTATTTACTTTTCCCATTGATATGACTATAAAATATCCCACTGTTAAATATCATTACTGAGGCAACTTCATTTCTAGATCAGTCAATTCGATAAAAAGCTCGGCCCGATCTGTTGCACATTTTATAAATATATATCATAGGAATCATTAGTCTAATAGTAAATTATTTATATATCAATAGATTTAACATACGGCTACTAGGAGAAAAGCTGGTCAAGTTTGTTGAAATATTTTCTGCTTTATTTTATTGCGAAAAACATTTCTATTTTAGGTAATTGGGATTCGAAAAAAATAAATATTTTCTAATATTTTAAACGAGGTACTAAAGAAATTGGATAACAAATTCAGATACTTTAGCTGTGTTGTCGTAAAATGAATTTGTCTATCTATCTTAAAACACGGCTCAGATTCGGATTAGGCACTTTAAAGGCCTTTGGAAAAGTTTTCCATTCTGGGCTAATACATTTTATTACATGTTGTTTCGTCTATGTTGCATTATTTTTATAAAGATATATAAAGTTTGACTTCGCTAAGATAATATATACTTTCTTTTCTTTGATAATCTAATTGATTTTTTCATCGTCTTATAGGCCGGTTTATCTTTGGCTAAATATTGAACAACAAACTAGTTTAAATTTAATTTGAAGCTAAATCATTTGAAAGGCAGCGAGACTAAGCTGTCGAGACTAAGTTCTCGGGGCTTTAGTTTATATAACCAGATAAGGTAACTTTTTCACGTTTAATTGCATATTTTTGTGTATACTAGAGACCAAAGCGCAGCTAATGACATTTAAAAAGATATGAATTGGTGAGGTATATGGATTTCCAGCAACTACTAAAAGTCTTATGTATTATGTGTATATAAGCACTATGTGAGAAGTCGGCCAATTGTATGGCGATTGCCAGCTGGCAACATAGTTTTCCCAAGCTTTTTCTGTTTCTGTTTTCATTTTACTTTTGCTGTCGCCGGATCGCATGCAAAACAGCCCCCATGCCCAGTTGCAGGTACAGTTCCAGTGCCATTTCCAGGGCCCGTCAATGGCAACCGTTAATGTTATTATTTGTTGGCCACAACTTGGAAAAAGAGTTGGCAAAGAAACAACAATGGTTTCACCCACTGCTTGCAATGTGGGTTAATAAACAAGTCAACCAGCAGCGTACCTATTTATAGCGTCTAGTTCGTAGAACTTAACATCGCGCTACTTATCATGGCCGCTCGCCTATTTGCACAGAAATCAGCCGAGCGACTCGATTCCGGGCGTGTCGAGGCGGCCCAGAGCACCGCAGGCTAGCTGCCGGGCAGGCAGGCAGCCCGCTTGTTGACACACAAATTGAAAATTAGCCGGAGTGAGGAGTCCCTGCTTTCCCTCCCCGCTCCTAACGGTTGGTTAGTGGTTACCGACAGGTGGATAAGTGGCGCATAAATTATGTGCCACAGTCGAGCGGTCCATCAGTCAGCCAATAGCTCATTGTCTGCTCTGAAATTAATTCCTTTGACGCGACTCGCTTCTTTAGAAACATATAAAAACAAGTGAGACAACTCCAGTCGGACTTGCCCGACTAATAGATACCCTGTTTTCCATAGCTTGAATCGATCATTAAAAAAAGACAAATAAAAAATATATAACAAAAATTTGCATTGTATAAAATATACAATAAATACTACATTTGGCGACTCTAGCTCTTAAGCCGTACGAGGTATAAATTAATAATTGCATTTCCATGTTTTTAATCGATACCAATCAAACGGGAACAGTTATCGATTATTTGTCGACGCGTTCACGCGTACAGACAGACGGACAGAGCTAAACCCAAAAATATATATACTTTTTGGGGTCTGCCACGCCTCCTTCTGCCTGTTACATACATTTTAACAAAACCATTATACCCTGATATCTCATTTTTCAATGGGTTCAGGGTATAACAAGTGACAATGCTACCATAGGGTACAATCGACTGCAAGATAAACGGGCACCGTTTAAAAACATTAAAAAAAATTTAATTTGAACCATATTTTATATAGATCTAACTCTAACTGATCTCAAATTACGCGCGGTCTGGCTGTGGATACATACCTTTAAGTCGATTTATTGGGAAGCGCAACTTGTGAGGTATTTAAAA